CTGGGGTGGGCAGGGGGTCATGGGAGGGATGCGCAGGGAAGGGCTCGGCGCTTGGTGAGATGGAGGAGGGAGAAGCAGGCAGGGAAGGGAAGGCAAATCGCTCCCTCCCAGCTAAAGCAGAGCCCCGCCAGCCATCCCCACCAAACCTGGCCATCGTCTCTGGCACTGGGACACTCGTGGTGTTACAAGTGCGCTGGTCGGCAGAGACAATAAAATGCAATTTGCAGTGTCAGCGCGGAGAGCTGTACTTCCTAATGACAGACCCACCCCTATAAATCTCATGGTCTCCAGCGCCGAGGTGCAGATTGCCTCACATTAAATATTGTTAGTCCACCGAAATTAAAGGGTTGCCTGTATCAACAAACAGCGGAGCAGATGGGCATGGCCCCGGCGCGGAGAATCCCTGGCATGTGCTCAGGTGCAGCTGCAGGAGAGCACCTCGGAGACAAGCTTTGGGGCATCGGCCTCGATTCCTCCCCACCTTGGTGCTGCCTGAGCACGTCTCCGGCTCCTGCAGTGAGCAGAGGGATGCCCACCACAGGCGGGGGCTTTGCCCAGATCCCCCTGCTCCCACCCTTGCAGGGCTCTGCACCCCCTGCCCGTGGCACAGCCCCTTCTCTCCCTGCCCAGGTCTCCTCCATCAACCGGGTGCTGAGGAACCTGCCCAGCGACCTGCGGCTGGCGGCTGAGCGGGGTTTTGCGAGGGACCCGCTGCCACAGGGTGAGCCTTGCTGGGGGCGATGCCCTGGGGAGCAGGGGCTGGGGGTGGGTGCACCCCATGGGAGAGACCTGCTCTGAGCAGGCAGAGAGCTCCTGCCACCACCGGCCTCCCGGCTGCACACACATCCACGTGTGCATGCACACACACGTGCACGTACATGCATGTGCATGCACACGGCTCCTCCGCACACTCCTGTACTGATCCTGTGCCCCCAAAGCAAAGGAGCTCGTCGACCCTCCCTGACTCTTCCCAGCCTGTCACCGCAGTGTCCCCTCTCGCCGCCCCCTCCCCCCCGCATCCCCCGGGCTGCCGCTCACCTGCCGAAGCCGGTGCCACCATCTCCCCGGGGACCCAGCACCCTCCACGGGGCTCTGCATCCAGCCAGCGGCTCCTGCTGAGCACCCAGAACAGGAGCAGGACGGTCTTCTCCAGCCAGCAGTCGGAGGCCCTGGAGAAAGGTGCGGCTCTCACGGGACACCAGCTGGGGCCGGGGCATTCGGCGTGCCTGCCCCGAGCTGTCACAGGGTGCTGGGATGGGGCAGGGCCATTCCCAGGGGAGGGCATTGCCACTTTCTGGATGGGCTCCTGCCCCTTTGAATGGCACGGCCATTGCTGTGGTGCCCCAAACTGCTCTGAATTGCGGGCACCGGGGCCCAGCGGTGG